GTGTGAACTGGCTGAGCCTGGGAACTGGTTTCATTCTGGGAAGATTCTTGTTAAGGGGCTGTAGCTAATAAATCTTGCTAGATTGATTCTGCATGGTCTCCTGGAGTTCCTGATTAAAATTTTTGTAAAACTTATATCTAAGTTTTTTCATTCAAAGAGGTCCTTTTTCTTTCATATTACGTGTTTACCTTATAAGTGGTATAAATATTAATAAACAAAAAGTTCAGAGCCCCCTTTATTTTGCTTCCACGTTATTTAAGTTTTTTTACTCAAACTTCCTTCTTAAAATTAAGGTGCGTGTTATACGCCTGTGCGTGTTATATGCTGATAAATACAATATGTATAAGAATTTAACAGAAAAGAAGATGGGATATGTATGCATATGCATGTGCACATGCCAGTAAAGTCTTGCAAAACCATCAGAAATTAAATTATTAGATGAGGATGATAATATAATATCTGAAGATATACAATTCCCTGTAGCCTCAACCAGTATAGCTAATTATAATGGATCTTAACAGCTGTACTTTAGAAGTATCTTTGGGCCGCAATTCTCCTATCACTTCATTCAGATATTTATTCCGAAAGTTCTTCTTGTTTACTATTGGAGGTAATCACTCAATGTTACTTTCCCCTACCCCTAAGAAAATCAGAAATCACATGACCACTTTTCAATGTATAAAGCTTTTGAGGCTTCTTCATTCTTCTTTCCATAAGAAAGCTTTATATTGAGCAAACTTAGAAAAATGTCCTCTTCAAGAATTAGGCAAAAAGTATCCACTGAAAAAGTGCACCAGAAGGTAGGCCAGTAGTCAAAAACTTTCTGTTGCCTATGGATATATCTAGAATCTTGACTTTTTGCAATTAGCGTTCTCACAAAGTGGCTACTATGGAGAATATGGAGAATCATGAAACAGCCATTTTGCTACAAAGCAAAATGAATAAAGTTGCCCCCTTGTTTAAATGAAAATCCTTTAAGAAGAGTATTTTTATCAAGACGTAACCAAGTAAATCTTACTACAAAGGCAGATGGTGATACTCAAAAAGGTAAAAACATTGTTTTAAGACCCTTCTTCCAAAGACACAGCTATGGGAGAAATGTCAGTTTTTAATGTGAAAGTCAGATCAAATCGCCACTCAACAAATTTGAATGAAATTTGATGGAACAAGAGAAAGCGAGAACTGAATGTTATTTTGGGATGTATTTTCTTATGCAAAAATTTAAAGCCTCAGCTACACCTCCAGCAAATGAGACAGAATGATGGATGTAGGTTGTGCAAAATGTTTCAACTTGAAATTTTGTGAAATGTCCCATCTCACAGCTTCAATGGCTGCTTTGCATACTCAGTTTCAACCTTGGATCACCACTGGAATCTTCAAATAACAGTCTGTCCATTTAAAATGGCACATTTCAGTTTCACACTTGAAACTTAAAAATAAAAGATTTTGCACACCCCTGGGTGTATGAAGGAGCTCTGAATTCTGGGGAAAACTAATTTCATTTTGAGGATACAAAATAAACATCAGGATGTGGAATAACAGCTTCTTTGTTGAAAATTCCAAGACTGTCTCACTAAAAGAATACTGGTATCATCTGTGCTGACGTAAGCATCACAGGAAAAACAACATTCTATGTAAATGGAATGATACTGTCCACAGAAGTTTGAAGATATCTTTGTAAAAACTTTAGAAATAAAGTATAGATTCCAACTTAGAAAGAAATGAGGGATTCAAAAAGAGAGCTTTCCCTTCCAAAACCTGTAATGGTGATTGGGAGAACTAAGGCAGATTTGCAGAGCTGGATAAGGCAAAAGAGAATGTAGAGATCTTCCTACCTGAAGTATCCAAACACAAGTGCAAAATCGTAAGTGCTTTGTTAAATCCTGTGCATTTGAAGACCATGGCTTACACCAACTAATAAAGTCTCTTATTTTATGCTCTCACAGCATGAGTAAAGATTAACCCTGGACCCAAACCAATGATTACATTAACTGGCCCTAATCCAGTGAAAGCATTAATACATTATAGTCTGAATATACTAGTACAACTACAATCTGAATCTAATACAAGTACAATTTCAAAACTATGCATTTACATGATGTTTTTAAGTTTTATCAATCCCAAAAATAAGATTTTTGTCATAGATTTAAAAATTTCCTTTCATACTTGTTGCTATATATCCCAGCTGAGGAATCAGATGCTCATCTGCACAATTCTCTCTTCCTGGTACCAATCGCTGATATTTTGTTGGGTGGGGATTTCCATCTACATCTACCAAGAATGGAGGAGGCATGAGGTGGGGTGCCTGTTGTGTCTGCTCGTCTAGGACATAATTGTTAGAATCTCGAATCAGTGGTCGATAGTCAGTGTGGAAGAACATCTGATCAGGAATCTAGAAAACAATGAAGCTTATATATAATTAACTTCGAAGAAATAAGCTAGGTGCAAATGTTACAGTGACAACAAAAAAGTAAACTTCAGGAAAGCTACAATTTATCTTATGAGGAATATGAATTTCAGCCATTGGTTGCCTAAGGGGCAAATTGTTGTCATACGTCTTATTTTGATCTAGCATAATCCCTCATTCAACAATACTTTTTAAAATTACTCCTTTTGCAGAGGATGCTTCTCTATTTTCTCTTAAACTGGTCTCCAAGAAGGGCAATATTTTACTACTAGCAAAATTCCGATTTAATTTTTTCTCCACTCTTAAGGAAAATATTTGAGACTCTCAGGATAATCATTTTGTTTTGCAACACAAGACTGGGCATGTAGGATTTAGAAATGTTTAATCAGCGTTTACCCAAAATATAACTGAATTGTTGTCTATGTTTTACTCAAGGGAAACTGGTGAATTTGCTACTTTTTATAAATTAAATTTTAAAATTTAAATAGTAACACAAAGGATTAATAGTTTAGCAACTATCACATACAATTTCTATAATTTGGTAACAAAAGAAAGCCCATCTTTTGGGACTGGAGAAGGCAACTTCTTACAGCAATGTACCCACATTTTTTTTTTTAAAAGAAAGACAATATGACCTTCAGTTCTCAATCTCTCTACGGACTGAGCTCTATCTTCACCAAATTACCAATTTACCAAATTACCAAAGCTTTTGCTGACTGAAACCTGGTTCAGAGAGAGTTATAGTTCCATTCCAACTACATTAAGCACATGAAATAAATGAATACATGACAAGATTGGTGAGATTTGTACATCATACATTTTTTAACAGCTAAAAACAACTAAAGCTGAAAGAATACCTTTTCATATGGTTTGTTACAACCAAACCCAAAAATCAAGAGGTGTCCATGAGAATCTGTACAGGTAAAATGCTGTCCATCTGATGAAAACTTGCAGTCAAACACAGCACCATGTCCTTGTCCTTCAATCTAAATCAAAATAAAAACAAAAACTTTCTAGAACTGCTTATAGCTTTTCAGATGAGCTCTTTCCCCTCTGTAACTGATGACCTCTGCCCCATTAGTGCAAAATGTACATCTCAGCAAGCAGCTACGATTAGTAAAAAAGGAATCAGTCAAGTCACTTTATTTAGCAATAGTGGATGGCAAGTCGGATGATATCTTATTGGCTAATTGTAATTATTTACTCAATTAGGCTATTTCAGCTTTTTAATTGTGCCACACTCCACTATAGTCAGATAACATAATTGCATGTTATACATGGTTAAGTTATGAGTGCCAAGAAGCTAGGAGGTCTCTGAACCACTAGTTTAAGCTGTATGAAGAGAACCCTGCTTCCTGCTTCACCCTTGAAAATTGAAAAACCCTTGAAATTGAAAAACAACCAATATAAAGAGATGCATCTAAACATACCGTTCTTTTACATGCAAACTGTATGTTTCACAACAGAGCCACTATCCTTCTTCAAACATGGTGTTCCATTAAAGCAGAGCCAGGACACCTGTTGCCTTAGGCTTAAATTTCATCTCAGCCTAATTTCAAAACCTTTTAAATATGATCATACCACTAGCAAGAACAGTAATTTCTCTCTTACAGCAACCCTCTGATAAAGAAGAAAAGGGAGAGGAAATTTGAATTCTAACCTCAACCTGTACTGGCATATACCCTTTGCAAATTATCTCCAAGAAAAATGGCTTTTGGCTCCTCAGTCTACAACGACAAAATTTAACTTTCTTAATAATTCTTCGTTGCAAATCTAGAAAATTGTGATTTTATGGACATCTTAATACTTTAAATTTGATATGCACTTAGAAATATTACTGGAAAATTGGACGGCCAAAGTGAATTGTAAGATTTAACTTTTTTTAATAGAATTTTTTTTCCCTATCTTTCTAATCTCCTTCCTAGATTACATCAGCTGTCTGGTGGTTCTAATACATATTTATTTAAGCAGGAATAAAGCTGAAGGTAAAAGTAAAAAATGCATGCATTACTAAAACAATATTTTTAGAAATAATATTTACCATATTAAAATAATGTTTCATTTGAATGCCTTTTTCTATATCCCAGATAAAGATACTGCCGTCATGGCCTGCAGACAACATAATCCTGGAATCAAATGGATGGGGCTCCAAAACAAACACTTCATCTGCATGCCCCTTTTTGAATAGAAATTAATGTATTAGTCATGGAGAAAACTGGACTTTTATGACTAGTGGTTAAATTGCTAATAGATATCTAATGTATTAATATTTTCTAATTTTCCACTAAACCACTGGATTTTTAATTTTACAAAGTACAAAATGAACACAGGCATGAAATCCTAACATTTGACATTATAATAACAAATTGTTATTGAAGACATTAAATGTTTATATACCTGTCTTCTCTTAATAACCAATTCATAGTGAATTAAAAAATAATATGTTACATTTGTCTTTATTATTCATCCATTTATCCAAATTCAATATTCAAAAAGATCCTGAAAACCCTATCTTTCTGCAACATATTGATTACTGAGATTTTGCTCCATTATATATTATAGCGTAATATAATTAATAAAAGGCTCCAAGTTGTCCAAATATTGGCTTTCTCTACCTTCAAGTACGTATTGTGTTACTTTGCTCATTAGAGCTGTATCTTTTTTTTTTTTTCCTGACTTCTTTAAAGAAAGGGTAGTGCCTAACTTCCATTTGGTACTATCATCTCTAGTGCCATTAACTGGTTACTAACCACTTAATTACATTCATGTTCCTTTCACCTTTTAGAAAAAATGCTTAAATACTGAAAATATAAAAGCATATAGAAGATCCTTTATTATAAACATATTTTGTTCAACAACCCATTAACACTCAGTGTGTTATGAATATATCACATTTTAAGAAAACATTTCTAGTAATATTTATTCTGAAGAAATATTATAGAAAACAGCTTTTTTTACTTACTGTGAGATCATGTAGAAGCTCCCCAGAATAAGAATTCCACACTTTGAGCAGATGATTGTTCACAGCAGTAACCACTACATTATCATTTCGACTCCAAGCTATCATGGTCACTTTGGGTTTCATAAATTTATCCTCCTCGGAACACAAATCACTGCATTGAATGAATTGATTTAATACTATGAAACAGAACAAAACAATCTAATCCATTTATCTAATAAAGGTTAAACCTAGAACAATTAATATGAAAACAAAAACCAATCCAAACTTTAAATGCAGTATTCTGCATTTACTTCAATTATGCCTTTTCATTCATGCTGGGAGAAGCAGCTGATTGCCTCCCATTCTCAGGTCAGGGGGATCAAGACCCAAAGCATTGTTTTTCTGTTGTTGGCCCAGCCCTCCAGAATGGTCTCCCACCAGAACTGTACTTGGTCCCAACTATGGTCACCTCCTGGAAGTTTCTTAAATTGGAGCTTTTCTGGAGGGCATTTGGGAGCTGACCAAACAAGTCTGTCTATGTTGATTGTTTTATTTTATAAAAAATGTTTTATTTTTCTTTTATGTTGTGAGCTACTAAGAGTCAGTGTACAATTGGGATGGCTATAAATGTGATAAATAAATGTTAAAATGTTAATACAGAAGTCAGTCTATACTGGGAATATCTGTACAGAAAAGGGGAAACCAAACTTTTTTACAAATACCTGACTATATAAACCCAGGATTATTTTAAAGTAAAATGGCCTTAACTCTTCTACCAAACTATACACAAGTCTTTTTTAATTAATTTCTCCTTAACTATTTTCTTAATTAATTAAATAATTGTTAATTAATTTTCTCTTTAATTAAATTATTTTTTTCTTAATTTCTCCTAAGTATTTAGAAGGTTCTTCCAAATAACAATAACAAATAACAAATACATCCATTTTCAAAGTCATTTATTGCTAATACCATTCACAAATAAGGTATGCCTACCTTGGTAATTTGTCAGCCATATCCAGCAAAATGCTCTTCCACTCTGCTTGCTGAAATTGCCAGATTCGGGCTGTTCCATCTCTGCTGCCACTTATGAACCTTGACATAAGTTTAAAAGATACTATGTGACATACAAAATAGAAATCAATGGTTCAAATTTTAAATAGCATCTTTCAGAAATGCTGAATCATGCATATTGCATATATAAAATATAACCAGAGCAATATATCCCACAAAAGTTGGCCTCCAGTGATATTTAAATGTTTCCTATGAGCATAAAAATAATCTTTTGTGATATAGACATTTACTGCCCACCAAACCCTACAGTACAGGCCTGCCAACAATATTTATTATAACAAATGCTCTCAACCCACATCTACATATTCCTGCATCAGAAGAGAGTAGATATTTAGGAAATGGAAGAAAGCTCCAAAGAAGTCTGTTGCTCGAATACCTAAAGGGCAAAAAAATATCCAAGATGAAACCTTTTGTAGACTGGGTTCACTTATTACACTTAAGTCATCACTGGGCTTAGCATGATGGAGAATTCAGCAATGACACGTCAGTCCAGGAGGTGAGCAAAAGTGAGGGGTAGGACCACTGCAGGATAAGTACTGAAAGTCTGTAGCTAAACTTTAGGTATTCTCATTCACTGTAATGGTACTGATTGTTGTACGCTGCCCAAAATTGTTTCTTATGAGATGGGCGGCCATATAAATGTGATTTAATAAATAAATAAATAAATATTCCCCTGAGCCATTGTTTCTCTCTCAACATCTTTATCTCCATCTTGTTCCCAAGTTGGCAGCTGCAACTCTGAAATACAGGTAGTCCTCAACTTACAACCACAATTGAGACCAGAACTTCTGTCGCTAAGCGATGAGGTTGAGAGAGTCACGCCCAATTTTGACCTTTTTGCCATGGTCATTAAGCAAACACATGGTCATTAAGTGAATCTGCCTTTCCTCACTGATGTTGCTTGTCAGAAGCCCCCTTGGAAGATCGCAAATGGTGATCACATGACCTTGGGACACTGCAACTGTGGTAAATGCATGCTCCTTGCCAAGCACCCAAATTCTGATGACGTGAATGCTGCAATAGTCATAAGTGCAAGGACCAGTCATAAGTTACTTTTTCAGCGCCATCGTAACTTTGAACAGTCACTAAACGAATGATTGTAAGTTGAGGACAACCTGTAACACAGGGACAAAAAAAAAATACTTCTCTCCCCCCCCACCCCCACCCCCACATTAAAGTACAATAAGCTTGCTATGTAAGGCCCAAGCACATAGGCATCTCACTCCTGTACTTTCTTCTATATTAAACTAAGTATCTTCTAAGCTAGGCTGTGCTATGACTGCCATTGTGGAGGAGCACACACACACAGGCCACACATTTTTGCAACTCATGAGTACAAATTGTAGCGTATGTACTATGGCTTATTCTCCCCATTTTTTCATCTATTTTCCTCCCTAACCATACACATTCACTTGTATGGTTTTGTTACTATTAAAATATATACTATTGCACCAACAGTCTACTTTAAGTAATAACAGTTGATAGGTTTCTTTGATATGAGATCTTACTACCACAAATGAATAACCTTCTGATTTCCAAGAAGGTGGCTCCTCCCAAACCAAAAATTATTCCATTGTGATAGTCAATAAATGCTGATAATTCAATTGTGAGACATTTATATATGCACATCTAGCATTTTTCTGGCCTAATTCCTTTACAAATCATGGAAGTTCATCTATATGCTATTTTCTGTTCTAAAAGAAATCCATAGAGAACATTTACCTTCTGTGAATGTTAAAACAACGCTAGTTTACTTTGACATAGTTTGTTTAACAAAACAACATTAAATTAAGCATTTTCTTTATAAACATACCTATCATCTCTATTTGAAAACTGAATACTGTCAACTTTGTCCTGAAACAGAAAACACATGTTAAAATAACATGCAAGTGGCATGTGTTAAAAACTGTAAATAGTCTTACTTTTATTTAATGAAAACAAAGAAAAGGCATTCTAAAGATTACGGTGATGACAACTGAAGATTGTCCATATATAGGAAAAACTGAATTAGTGTCCGTATATAACCAGGTGTTATGAACCTAAGAGCAGTCTTTTGATACAATTCAGCATCCTGTGAGCATGAACATTATGATCATGACTGCATGATTACAAACTTCTTTACAAGGAATAAAGAAATCCTACTTGTTCTACATCTAATTATACCAACTACTTCAACCAAGATTGTAAAATAAAATGTTTTCCTCAATTAGACTTTAAGCAGTAGTAAATTTTTTCTTTATATTAAAATGTGAATTTATGGCAGAATTTAATATTATATTACTTACAGCATGGCTCTCCAGTTCTGCAATTTTTTCAGGGGTTTCAGAACCAAAATAATATATTCTGATAACATGGTCAGTACTCCCAGTTGCTAAAAACATTCCACCTAAAGAAATAAGTAATTGCTTAAAACAATGAAAGGAAACAAATGCAAATTATGGACTGGAACCAAAGTTAAGTTGGCTGCATTTATTTCTCATAGAAATTGGTGGGTTCATTAACTTATCTGTCCTACTGATTCTAATAGATCCTCTTATGCTGTCTTGAACTGTTATCTAATCCATTTGTACATATCTGGAAATGTTTTTTAAATTATTTAGTGAAAAACTATCAATCAGTCTAAGATGATCTGGACTATTTGCAGTCCAATTTTGCATATACCTACACAGAAGATCTACTGAGTTCAAAGGATTTAATTACAACACTAGGAAAAGTAGCACCTAAACCGAACACAGAAAACAATACATTCTTTGAACAGAATTCTTTGAGGCTGGATAACTATAAAAATGACTAGCACAAACACATTCTGCTTCAGTGGTTCATGTACTTACCAACACTAAAAGAAGAACAAAGCATTTGAACCCCAGGTCTTGGTTTTTCTATGAATTTCAATGGCCTGTTACTTCAAAGACAACAAGAGTTACTTGTATATATGTAGCACCATGAATTCTATGGAAATCTTAAATTTAAACAGCTCATAAAAGTAAATGCCTATTTCCAATGTATTCAGACATCTACATACTACAAAGAAATTAGCTTTTAATTACTTTTGCAACAGTAAGGTTCTCTACCTGCTTTTCATAAACTGTAATGAAAATTGTACAGTATTTATTTTCTTATTCAAACATAAAAGTAAATTTGACAAACCGAAAATGCTGTATATCACAGAAATTAATTAGTAATACCGTATAGATAGATACATACTTGAATTTCATAGATGTGGTATCCCACTGCCAAAAGCACACTGTTCCATCTACACCTGTGGATGCCATATATCGCATTGAACCTTTCACTAATGGGCTGAACTGTAAATTAAAAAACCACAATCATAATGTGTGTTTTAAATAAATAGGACAGCAAATTTCAGCATTTTTGTCAGTGTACAAGTTTCCATTTTTAATTTTTTAATTAAATTTAGTTTGCATACTCCATCATTAAAAACATTCGAAGACAAAAATAAAAAAATAGCACCAAGTGATCATTTAATAACACACTATAGCAAACATGATGTACAAAAAACCACATCTACATACATGCAGTATGAATATATACAATTGTCTAGGCTCACACACTGTGCAACTGTCATAATATGGCTAATTTTGGTTTAGTATTATATATTAATCCAGCCATTACAGTTCATGAATCATAAGTTATTGTTTAGCATTTTGATATGCAGACTCTCTTGTTCAACAAATCACAGCTTAATATATTGTATGAATCCAATCATTGAACTTATATACTACGAAATATCATTCTATAGTGTGATTAAATGAAACTGACTACACTATTATAAAACAACTACTTTTTTTCCTAAAAAACCAGGAAGTTGATACTCATCATTCAGAGAATACCAAATTCTAGTAGATCAATATAAGCTTCACAATGGAGAGCACTGTATGAAGCACACTGCAGAGAGCTCCTTTATACAACTGGCAGTATGCTATTTCTACTGCAAACATACAAAGCTGCAACTGTGACCACACCAGTTATATACACTAGATAGCAAAAACATAACAATACCACTGAGCCCACAAATTTAGAGTTCTAACTTAATGACAGCCTATACATAGCTGTTCCATTTTTCCAGTAACTATGCAGCATGTTCCTGTCCAAAGGTGAAATCAATGCTTACTTTCTAAGCATACAATCGTTTCTATCAACTTAGCTTGGTGAGCAGGCAATGGTTTCCCTCTCATCCTACGAAGACTCTCAAAATCTATTCAAGAGAATTGAATATTCTGGAGCAGATCTGAGAGATCACAAGGTATAGTAGAGATGCAGGAGGAGGGTAGAAAGCCTGTTTACCCAATGAAGAATTTCATCATTTGTATTTTCAATACGCAGATTAATCTTTATTTTGAGTAGGTTATGCAAAAAAGTAATGTTCAGCACAAATGTCAGCCAATAGTTCTATTCTGATGTTCCAAACTGACATTTGTTTCAATGTATTTGGTGGTCTATAAGCATAATAAATATTTTTACAAATTTGCAAATATAATGATTTCAATGAAATTAAACAAGCAACAACAAAGAAAATTCACATCATCTTCACAGTCACAATTACACAATTGGAACTTTTGGTAATTTCAGATTCAGAAACACACATAAAGATCCCAAAATGTACTTTAAAATGCAGTTTTAAAAATAGCTTTTCAACGTGCATTAACAATCATATTTAACAAAATTAAGAATTTACTTGCAAAGACGTAATTGATCCTGTGTGTCCTTGCAGAACAGCAATTGGGGCACATGTTCTGAGACACCAAACTCTGATAATTTTATCGCAACTACCAGCAGCGATCATTGTGTTCTCAAAGTTCACAGCCATATCAGAGATCTCTGCTGAATGGCCTCTTAGGGTAGCTAATAGCCGACCATTGTGTGTGGACCAAATTTTTACCAAGCAGTCATCGGATCCCTGAATAAAAAGAAAGCAGTTACTTAACATCTAATCATCCTTTCAATTTAAATGTGTCATTGTGGTTTTAAAATAATTAAAAATTAAACATAAAGGACAATATATAGATTTATTCTCAAATGCAGTTTAATATAACATATATAATATATTCTCCATCAGACTATCTTGAAATAAGAAAACACATCTGAGTAACAGATACAAAGGAACACCTACTGATTTGGCACACACATTGTGCTAAGCTGTAATATGGTCTCTTCAATTTCAGTTCAATACCTCTGTGAATACTCCACTGTGGTTTGCACATCACAGTTTATGGTTTAGCTTTATGTAAATGAGGTAATAAATTTTTCATGGCATAGCTCAAAATGTAAACTTAACTGACAATCACTATATAATAGTTTCTACCTGATTACAATTTGTTTACTATGCTGATATACCAAATAAATAGACAAAAGGTGTAACTAATGGATCAATATATTGTCATTAATTGGTATTTAATTTGGTACATCTATCCTGATAATATATTTTTCATTTTTTACAATTATTCTTAGGGCTAGTCTTTCCTTAGCCCTGCCTTATCTTAATTTCTTAGAGAACTTTAATGTAAAACAAAAGCACTTTCTAAAAGAAGCTTGCTTCTGCCACAATATGTCTCTTCACATACACATCTACTTCTGTTTTACAGCCATAAAAACTAATTATCAATTTCATAATGGGTTATAAAATGAATACAGCAAATTGTATTTTAAAGAGGACTTGGTGAAGTTAAACAATTATGTTTTGGGTTTTACGCCTGTCAGATAGTTTAGGGTCTGAGAATGTACATAAAGAACTGTCATGCAATGTTATTTACTTCTCATTTTAGGTACAATGTATACAGTAAAACCTCAGTTTAATGGATCATTTCAGGAAAAGATGTCTGTTAAGGCTGAATGTCTGAAATTGCATAATTGTAGCAATTAACAAAATTACAAAACTGATGTTTTTGTAATTTGTATTAACAAAATTACAGAAATCATGCATGTTGACATAGATGCATCCATTACATAATTAAATAAATTATATTCATTGATGGAAATTGCATAAATTGTCTGGACAGACTTCAAAAACAATGGAGTCATCCACTATTTCAGAGATGAAGCCTAAATTCAAATTTGGTCCACTGTACCAAAGTCCATTAAATGGAAGCACATTTAAATCAAGATTTCACTGTATTAATGAAAATGAGTGGCTCTGCTCTAAAAGGATTTGGCAGATTTGGATTTCAATCAAGATGATTATGGATGCTTTCTTCCTATCCCAGTATCCAGTACCTTGGAACTCCATCAATACAAACTCTGATGATACCTGGCATACTTCCTGTTTCACTGAAGCCTTCTAGACTTTTACACCATATTTTCTTAAGTCACTTTACCAGGAAAGTTAAGTTTCACCAGAGTCTGTACTAAATTAAATACTAAATCCAATTTAGAGCAGAATTTGAATAATAACAATTACTAAGTGTTAATGTTAATATGAGTGATTACAGTTCATTTTCCCCTATATTCTATAAAATTCCAGAACATACAACTTTAACAACAAACTTATCTCCACTTGTTTCCAATTATCTCTGCTTGTCCCGTGAGGTCTGATAGGGTGGGCATGCTCTAGGTCCCCTCTATTAAACAATGCCATCTAACAGGATCGAGGAAGTATGTTTTCTCTATAGAAAACCATACTCACCCCCCCACCCACCCCCAAGATTTGGATGGTACTGACTTTGCTGGCCTTTCATAAAGCACTAAAGACCCAGCTTTTCCACCAAGTGGCAATTACTGAATTTTGCGACGTGCACATATGTATGTTTTTGATTGGTTTTAATAATTATTTTATTGTATTTATTGTTAGTCATCCAGAATTGCATGTCAATCAGGCAATCATATAAATCTATCAAATAAATAAACTCACAGTGAATATCCTATGTCCAGTCCTATCAAATGCCACACAATAAACTGCAGAAAGATGACCAAGAATCCGTCTATGCATCTTTATATGCTGGTACATATTTCCTGGGAATGAACAACTGTATCGGGTACATCCGGTCAACTGTTTCGCATAATTTAATTCCACTAAAATAGGAAAAAAAAATAAGGGTATGTAACTTTTTAAAAAAAGAAAAAGGTAATCACACTAATTGTAATGTTATATTTAGGATTAATAATCAGTAGTTATTTATACTGCAAGAACTAATACAGAAAAAAGTTGCTTTTTAACAGGTTGCATCTTCATCTATCTAGCTTGAAACTGTTTATTCTGAGTGGCATTGTGTCTCATTTTAATTTGAATTCCATGAACAAATCTCCTACATATAAGCATACACATAGCCATTGAGCAGCGGCCTCTCTCTCAAAAAGCTGCTTAGGCAGAAATCCAGTCAAAGCAATTATTAATTAGTTCTTTAATTGGGCAAAGGCTATTCTTGAAAGTTTGGCAGCTACTTTCTCTCCTTCCTAATGGCTATACTACTCTAAGGTTGAAGTGTGTTTGTTTTAAAGGTGGAGGGGTTAATTGTGTGAGCAAAGTGAAGTACACAATTTTGCTAGTGTTGGGTTCAGGTTTCAGAGCAAGAAGTAACTGGGAAGCTAACAGAAAATGTGGAAGGACACAACATGCAGCTTTCTGTAAGTTTCTAGTTAATTTTTAACTTAAAATTCTTCATATCAAGTATACGTGTTTAATATTTTTTTACTTTTTTATCCCGCCTTTATTATTTTATAAATAACTCAAGGTGGTAAACATACCTAATGCTCCTTCCTCCTCCTTTCCCCACAACAACGACCCTGTGAAGTAAGTTGGGCTGAGAGAGAGTGACTGGCCCAAAGTCACCCAGCCGGCTTTCATGCCTAAGGCAGGACTAGAACTTAAAGTCTCCTGCTTTCTAGCCTGGTGCCTTAATCACTAGATCAAACTGGCTCTTTGATATCTTGATATTTTGGTATCTAGTCATTATAATTGCATAATTTAGTAACACATTTGAATGAAATAAACAACATGCTTTTTTTTTTTAGCAGAAGGAGAAAAACAGTGTGAGTATAGTATGATATTAACCAAAAAATCCACTTACCTAGACTTGGTTGTCTGCCACAGTTAATAGGTATTTCAGGTGGTCTTCCTCTGTGAAGGGCAGCAATACCTGAGCCTTTCCAATTTGCATGTTTGCAATCTGCAAAAGTATATTTCAGTTATACATAAAGTAACACTAGGAAACAGCAGGACTCTATGCTGAACCAGGATATAAAAAAATATACTGAAAGAATGTAATGTCAAACATTTACATTATCCTAAGAAAACTGCTAAGTGCAGTCACCAAAGAGATAAACTCAGCTCAAGAATGTCTTCAGTGCTTTGCAGTAATATACCTTTTTATGTGTAAAACATTCTATATGCCATATCAGGATTTTGTGAATTTAAAAATGTGTGTAACACACAAACTAAATTTTAAAAGTATTTCAAACTCAATGTTCCTTTAAAAAAAGGCCTACTTAACACAGTATTGTCACATTTGAATTAATAGCCTCTATCAGAACTACAATGACTAAAAGATTGCTAGGCTCATGGGAAAAATATTTTTACAGTAACCATTATAATTATGCCTCATACTTTTGTCAAGAGCTTATACTGAGACTGCAGATCTTTACAAGATTTAACTCAATTTCAGGATGTGCTATCCTGTTTACTATGCAGATCTTTACAAGATTTAACTCAATTTCAGGATATGCTATCCTGTTTACTATGCAGATCTTTATAAGATTTAACTCAATTTCAGGATATGCTATCCTGTTTACTATGCAGATCTTTATAAGATTTAACTCAATTTCAGGATATGCTATCCTGTTTACTACTAAGATCCACTCTAGTAATCTCATCCTGTCTTTTAATGCTGTGTCTCCTAAATTTTTAAATTATATTTACTCTGCTAAACATAAGCATTTTCCATTGTAAGAAAACAACTCTGTCAGCCCTTAACTGCATTTAAGGAGACAAACATGCATGTGGAGATGAGATGAAAGGGAACTTTGGGACTGACAGCTACGTCACCTTTCTGGGTAAAAGAGGCTGCGGAAAGACAGGATTTTTACAATAGGTACAGCAACAACAATGGAAAGAAGCATTATCTTATAAAATACCACCAAGGTTTTGTTTAGCTATACATTAACTTGATTTAACAACTATATTAATCCATTAGGAGCATAAAAATACATCCTCATGTACAATTTGATTTAAAACTAATTTTTCTCTGAGAAGTTTTAAATGATTGATTTAAATACATTGATTCAAATGTAATCTGATACAAATCAGGAAACAGGACAACTTTTAGATAAGAGATTCAAGAGAGGTAGAAGAATATTACATGGAAACAGCCACTATACTAATATGTTCAATTTTCTTTTAAGTTTGATGCATACATAATACTACTTTTGTATATTCTTTCTGCTGGTTCTTCTCATGAATAGCTTTTAATTCTGCATAAAGAGATATTCAAGTGATTAATGTTGGTTAAAATCTAACCAAGCCAGGCAACAAGAGTTCCTTATAGAAAATGTTCGCACATGAATGTGGTACTTGTTTTCAATCTAACCATGGTTAAAAGTCACACTTTACTGGGCCTTAGAAGGCATTCAACTACTACTACTGATTTATTTCATGGTACATAAATCAAGAGGAATGTGTAATTAGGAATGTAAGGTTTTATGAAGAAGTCCTAGTATGGCAGAATGAGATGTTGCAAAATGGTCTCAAGGTTAAGGGTTGTTTTTTCTTTCTTGTCAGCACCAGGATACTGCCACATAGACACCTACAGGCTTCCTCCCTAATTAAGACATCTGAGAGCAGATGCATCTGCCTTTTGATGAAAATACATAAAAGGGCAAACATGTTAGCCAATGGAGGTTATTGGTGCACATTGGACATTTCTGCTGTTGTCCCTGGGCTGCGTAGACTGAACATACTATAGCTGAGGACCAAGAAGAAGCAAAGATGATCTAAAAGGCAGGTGATGCATGGAGAGGCTGGTAGAAAATACCACAGCATTTGGAAAGGCAGTCCAGATGTCAGCAAGGACAGCTTGATAAAGGTGCTAAAATTCCAAGAAGCTCTGAAAAAAAGTTATTTTACCCTCTTTCCATTCTTCTCTCTAGGCTAAAAGCTAGCCCAAGAAGACAAAGCTGTCTAAAGGAGTGAAGCTGTCAAACTTGAGATAAGGAACACCTGCATGAATTAGTAAGGGAGGGAGAGAAGCAGTTAAGAAACTGTGAAAAAGTCTATATGGAATGTCTTTACAGTTTGGTAAAAGCTAAGGCCACTGTATATATTAAAAATAACCACAAATTATTTAGCAAAAAGCACTATAACCATCACAACAATTTAGAGAACTCTGTATGCATACATATACATATAAAGTTTCTGTCACTTTTTCTATGCTTCAATACCAGAAAATGTCATAAAGCAATATAATGAAATGTACTGAAGGACAGGAAGGCCTGGCGCACTGTGGTTCATGGGGTCACGAAGAGTTGGACACGACTTAACAATTGAACAACAACTGTGCCTAAAGAAGAACAGAGTATATTCAAACTTAGTGCTGACAGTTTTCATTAAATGGGTAAGGACATTCATCCTAATTTGGAAAATTGAGATGTGCACTTTTGCATATACTAAATTCAGACATATTTGACTAGAATTTAATGAAGCGTCAATATAAAAAAAAATGAATATACCTTTTGCTGTACGCAGCAGGGACTGCCTCCCAGCACCCAACAACGAATTCACTCTTGGAATGCTGGGTGGAATTTCTTTATCCAGTATAGGGCCAATTCGCTTGCAAATTTGCAACAAATGATCTGGAGCCACATGTTTGTTACATAATACCTAACATGCAAATAAGATTAAAACCTAAAGTTAATATAACTTAATTAATAAAATATTGTTTACATAATCTAAATATTTTAGAAACAATAATATTTATCCCTCCCTTATTGGAAACACTTGATACTAAATATTTCCACCTGTTAAAAGAGCACTGCCATTTCACTGCTATTTACATTATTCCACAACCCCCCCCAAAAGGTATTTTAAATTGGTTTGGCTATAATTAAATAGAATAATAACTTCAAATTAATTACATGGTTAGTTGCCTTCTATCAGAAATACTCAGAATACACAATGGTAATGTAATACCAGAAACCAATAGTCACTGCTTTTCACTACCATACCTACATAAAATCAAGACCAATTATACCCCTGATAATCATACACAGAACACTTGCCCTAACTCTGAACTCTGAAGACATCCCAGAGGATATTTCTTCAAGGGCACTTACCAGCAGGTCAGAAGACTTTCTTTGCTGTGGCACTCTATCTATTAAACCTCTGCCACAGCTTACTTCAATACCTTTCTGACCAAAACTATTTTATTTTCTAAAACCTTTCAATTTATTAATTTTTACTTCATATGAACATGTTTTCCTATCTGGCCTTACTATTTAAATATCAGTGGTACAACATAACATCTTAAAGATGTGCACTTTATTTTGCTTTTCATATCAAAATGAATAGTTAAGTAAATTGATCTGGTTTTGAAGCAATTTTAAGTGGGAAATACCTAGTCTCCTGAGAATCTTTTGATAAAACAAACTGACTACTGCATTTATTATTCCTGAAACTTTAATATACTATAATATTGCCAGAGGGAGATATAACAAGAAAGTTCAGGATTAAAATCTACTACATTACTTTAATTTAGCACAATTATTTATTTCTGAGGTTAAATGCATGGAACCAAATGGTAAATCTCGCTAATGTCATATATATATATTTCTAATCATAAATTATTGTAGTTTGGCAGTTCAATTTTATGTACTGTATTTTATACTGGAAATCCTATAAAGATGAAACATCTTTAAATTCTAATATTTTTAATTAAGGTCTCATTATTTCAAAAGTCTCATAACTACAAAAAATAAATGAAACTAGTGCTAAACCCCAGGACACAATAGCTATACAAGCCTCAATAAAATAAAGGAGTGCTCAATACAATCAGTGGCATTTGCTTTTAAAACATGCATTTCACAAGAGAACATACAACTCTGTGTACAAGCATTTAATATTTAAATTGTGTATCAACTGGAGGAGAAAAATTGAGAGATAGAGAACGATAAGGGCCTCAGCTTCCAATCAACTCACTAAGCATCCCTTTCTCCCTCAAAGTCTTAAAATCCATGCAGAGATTTTATTTATTTATTTTTATTTATTTATATGCCACATTTATATAGCCACCCTCTCACAAAGAGACTCTGGGAGGCGTACAACAATGACATTCAGCAAGACTGCTAAACAGCACTTCTTTAAAACAAAGGATCTCTGAAGTCATCCTGAATCCTCAACTTCTTCAATACCAACAAAATACTGAATGATCCAGGCTTCGAGTGAAAATAAAACCTTTATCTTCAAAAGCTAAGAAATCTAAGGTAACCAGTAACATTAAAAATCCTTGTTAAACTAAAATTATTTAAGAAATTTCAGAACAAATCAGAAAGAAAAGCCTCTTTTCCAGTTCTCATTCTGAAAGAAAGGGAAGCAAAAGCATCACCGTTGATACATTTTCACAACTCATCCTCTGTGTGACACACTCCCACAAACCCCACCTCCTTTGTGATGACAACATCATCTGTTTGCAGTCCCATTTATAGCTTTTGTTGTCTAGCAAAATAATTAACACTTCACAGTAAGTAGAATGATTAATAGCGTAAATATGATTATCTTAATAAATGGACTTTCATAGTTTTCTTAACTAACTATATCTCACCAGGTCTTCATAACTTCTGCAATGCTCCTTTCCTTCCCAATCCAACCGTTTAGGAAGCAACTAAAGTTGAAGGGGGAAAAAGGGGGACAAGGAAAAGACGTAAGTTAAAGCTATTATGGATGCTTGCACTGATGACCTACCACTTCACTCTTGAAAAATACATGTCTCTAAATAAAATCAAGAACTGAGTAAAATTGAGTGTCACAAAAGAAAAGTAAAATTTTAAAACAAGTCAAGCAGACCTGGTACTGTTCCAGTTCTCGCACCAGCACCTGTAGGGGAAGGAAGAACCACATATTTTAAAATCAAAAAGCGCGGCTGCTGGCCAAAGCGAGAGGGGCACTCTGAAGACTTATTGCGGGTAGCGGAGAAGTAGAGCACTAATTCAGAACTCACCTCTGCTGCTTTTCTACAAGGCCCAGCGCTCAAGAAGCGAGCTATGAGAAAATACAGTTCTGCGAGAGAGAGAGAGAGAGAGAGAGAGAGAGGAGAGAGATGAATCCAGAGCTGAGCTCAGTTGGGGGAGGGTGAGAGAGGGGAGGGGGTGGGAGATCCCCTTAGGTGACTGTAATTCATAATCAGGATCACGAATAAGATGGCGGCGTCGGAGGCGCAGGGAGCTGAGAGGTTGGTCTCGTCCACCTCGCAGATTCCCCATTCCCTTTAGCGGCGGCGCTCACTTTTTGTTTTACCTGATTCAATCAGCGACAGAGAGAGACCGCCAGGGGCCAAGGCAGAATTGGAGGCCTTCGAGAACTCGGCCATTTCCGTAGCGGCCGCTGTTGCCAGAACGAGATTAGGATTCAGGGTTCTGGCTGGCGCGGCGGCCCAGGCCTGGCTCGACATAATCCTGCCAACGTTCCCCTCCCCCTCCGCTCTTATGTGTATGTATATCTGAGGAGGGACAGCGATCCGGCGGGCACGCGCGCGCTTTCCTGTGCGCGTCACCCTAGCCGCTGCGTTTCAGATTCATCTCTTCCAGCCCCGCTGCTGCCATTACTGCCGAGAAACCTCACACGACTCTGACGTCAGCGGGCCAAGGAGAGGCGGAGAAGGCTGACGGGAATAGCAAGGGGGAGCAGAGAAAAGTAGTCCATCTATTCTGCGACAAATGGAAACGTTGCCTTAGAAAGACACAATCCTACCCGTGGTTGATTGGCTTTTCTTCGCTTACACCGTGTAGAGGGATGATCCACCTTTCACAAGGGGCAAACTGAGAATAAAAAACGTGTGTGGGCTAAACGCGGAAGGAGATGCAATTAGTTCTACTGTAAACCACTTCGGAGAGGAAGGGAGGAGAGACCGTGGCGAATCGTAAAACGCACAGGAGATGGAAGCTTTTATTGTGGCTCAGGGGAGTGGTTTTAAAACGCATTTAAACTTTTTAAAATACGTATTGAAAACGTATTTATTTGGAAGCAAGCTTTGCTACTCGGGGATTTATTTCCAGCGATGTGGGAACTGCTTTGATGAAATATTAACGTTCAACTAAGTATCACCCTCAAAAGTACAACGCTTATTCAAGTTCTCTCTCATTTCTAATAAACTGGTTTATGACAAAATGAGCTGCACTGAATATTAACAGTATAATCCCAAGAAAACCTGCCATAGATTACAGCCTCCAGTTACGCGAGATTGAGAGTCTGGTATAGCGATTTTTTTTTTTTCAAAATAGGGATCGATATAAGTGCAACTTGTTACCATTAATTAATTCTTTTACGATTATAAGGAATCCCAAGAAAACCTGCCATAGATTACAGCCTCCAGTTACGCGAGATTAAGAGTCTGGTATAGCGATTTTTTTTTTTCAAAATAGGGATCGATATAAGTGCAACTTGTTACCATTAATTAATTCTTTTACGATTATAAGGAAAGGCCATTTATGATCACTTTAAACTGTTTCAGATAAAGAACAATTTCCACTTTAAAATGGTGTTTGAGAATTATTTGAAGCCAAATCATTCTGGGTTTATTCAAATTCAGGGGCATACTCTCAAACAGAATTGTTGTTACTGCACCTTTATATATTCTATTTTTTCAAGATTACAAACACTTCAAATTCAAAATTCTGTACAGCTGATTTGAGACCCACCAATTTGAAAGAGCAAAGGGGTGAAGAGCAGTAAGTGAATGACGATTTTGTTACTAGTAAACATAGTATAATGTGTATTTATTTGGAGCTAGATAATAAGCAAAATCTGCCCACCTCAGATCAAGAGTTTTAAACCACTTTTTTTTCAGAGCCCATAACTCCCTAAACTTGACTCCTGCAATACTTTTACTGTTCTGGATTATAAAACTTGATAAAGGAAAGAATTGTAAAATACACTTAAGTCTTGACAGGTGCAAAAATAATTTCATTCAGGGATCCTTTTATCTTAAATGGACTGGATTCTTCTGAGCTGGTGAAATCTGCACTTTTACAGAGTTACCATTGAGTAATGTTAACTATATTTCATTAGTCTGTTTCCTTGCTCTACCTTCTGCCATAAAATATTAAACTGGATAAGAGTGGCATGCTCTGTACTACAATAAGACAAGCTTCATGTGGCAATAAGTGTAATGTCCAACTGTAAAACATGCAACAGCCTTAAAATATTCACATGCTCTCTTTTAGTAAGATGCATAAAGCAGCATCGAGTGGATATTTACAGATGGGACTACCAGTACTGCAGCATTACTAACAAGATGAGTGACTGACATTGGAGTCTTCAGGCTCCAGAAGTCATATATAATAAAGTTTGACTCATTACAAATCGTGTCTCTTAGTCAATGCTGGACAATTCCACAGGGTGAAAATGGAGATTTATCCAATAGGACAAAAATGCTTTCTCCAGACAGAAGTGGAAGAATGCAAATAAGGACATGTAAAAGCTATTTTCCTTAAGAATATTTAGTTCAACATTCTATGACTTAGCCACATATTACAAATTTAAATCAAGTAAAATTAAATTCACATTTAATTTTATTTTTAGCTATGAATATTTATCCTAAACAAAGCACATCTTGCATTTCTCCACCTTTTTATAACACTATATTGATCTGGGAGGAGATTTCATATTTTAAACTTGTACAGATTTTTTTTTATGCCCTCTGCTTTCCAGTAAAATTGACAGAGCTATGAAAAGCTATTTTACCAAAGTGCATTTAGGCATCAGGATTAAAATTCTACATTTTCTTACTATCACTGATCCTATTCCAAAATAGTCTTGCAATGACTGGCATTAGATCATCATTCAAAGCCAGTTTGGTCTAGTGGTTAAGGCACCAGGCTAGAAACAGGAGACTATGAGTTCTAGTCCCACCTTAGGCATGAAAAATGGCTGGGTGACTTTGGGCCAGTCACTGTCTCTCAGCACAACTCAACTCACAGGGTTGTTGTGGGGAAAATAGGAGAAGGAAGGAGTATTAGGTATGTTCACTGCCTTGAGTTATTTATAAAAATAATAAAGGCGAGATTAATTTTTTTTAAAAAATGCAAGGCACCTCCTCCTATTTTATATTCTGGATGAAAGGATGAAAGGGGGACCTAAGGAGAGAGGGATTTGGGAAGTATGGATAGAAGGACAGGTCTGAGGAAAACTCCAAATGCAAACATAAGAACATCTCCATCTATCAGAGTGACAAGATTATATTTAATTTCAGCAAAAGCAAAGATTGACAGACTAATGAAAAATCTAAGGTACTTGGAGTCTTTTTGTAGTATAAGCAAAGAGCATACTTTAACAAAGTAAACCTGAACTGTAATATTAAGGAAACCACTTAACAACCCATTATGTTCTTTAAAAGCTAATTTGATTCCTTTTTAAACAGTTAAATAAGGAATTAACTTCTAAATAACATGTAAAGTGGTTTACAGTGCTGTTTATTGCACTGTTATCCTCCACATGTTCCACCAAGTCCACCAAGTTAATTATACTTATTTTGAAGAAATGAGAAATGAGGAGAAATGAGAAATGAGGAGAAATAAAAGCAAAGATAGCAAAAACTTTTTTTTAAAGAAGAAAAGAAAGCAGAGATAGTACCAAAAAAAGAAAGATAGCAGCAATAGTAATAGGTGCCTTGGGAGCAATCCCAAAACATCCGGAGCACCACCTGAAAACCATCGGCATTGACAAACTCACCATCAGTCAATTGCAAAAGGCAGCTTTACTTGGAACAGCTTACATCCTGCGACGATACCTTTAATACCATCAAACAACAAAATCTGCCTATCCCAGGTCCTTGGGAAAGACTCAAAAGGTGGATAAAAATGCCAAATCCAGTCTAAACATCTTGCTGACTGTGCAATCAACAATAATTTATTAAATGTATTTGCAGCTCAACTCCCAGCAACTCTGGGCAGTTTACAGTTGTTAAAACATTTAAAAAACAAAGAACACAGAAAACATAAAAACAGCACAAGACAAAGGGACAATGATGGCACAGGGAAACAGAAAGAAAGGGACATCAATCTCTAAAGGCCTGGACGAAGAGCCAGGTCTTTAAGTCTTTTCAAAATCCCAGTAGGGTGGGAGCTGTTTGAATTTTGGGGGGAACCTCATTCCAAAGGTTTACAGACCTGCTACAGAGAAGGCATGTTTCTGGGGTCCCGATAGGTAGCATTGTTTAATTGATGGAGCCTGGAGCACGCCAATCCTGCCAGTTCAAACTGGTCAGGCAGATGCTATGGGAGACAGGTGGTCCCTCAAGTAACCAGGCCCTATGCCATGTAGGACTTTATAGGTAGTGACCAGCAGCTTGAATCACACCTGGAAGCAAACTGGCAACCAGTGCAGTTTGCAAAGCACAGGTGTTACATGGACATATCAAGGCATGCCATCACTGCTCATGCTGCTGCATTCTGGACCAGCTGAAGCTTCGGGGTGGCCTTCAAGGGCAGTCCCATGTAGAGTGTGTTGCAGTAGTCAAGCTGTGAGGTGATCAGGGCATGAGTGACTGCCTGAAAGGCCCCCCCAATCTAGGAAAGGGTACAACTGGTGCACCAGATGAAGCTGGGCAAAAGCCTTCCTGGCCACAGCTGCCACCTGCTCATTGAGCAGGAGCTATCAGTCCAGGAAGACCTCCAAATTGCATACCATCCTTGAATAAGTACAACCCGATCCAAGGTTAAAGTTGGAATATCCCCAAATCTAGGCAGTCCAAACACCCACAGCCACTTAGTCTTGGTAGGATTGAGTCAGAGAGGTCTTTTGAAACACCAGTAGGGTGGGGGTCATTTAAATGTTGGTGGGAACCTCATACCAGAGGGCAGGTGCTGCTACAGAGAAGGTGCACTTCCAGAGCTCTGATAGATGACATTCTTTAATCAAAGGAAGCTGGAGCATGCCAACCCCTTGACCTTGGATAGAAATGCCACTCCATCCAAGGTCAAAGATAGAATATCCCCAGATCTGGGGAGACTAGACACCCACAGCCACTCGGTCTTCATAGGATTGAATCAGAGATAGTTCCTCCCCATTCAAACCCACACAACCTCTAGACACTGGGACAGAACCTCAACAGCCTCACTTGACCGGCCCAGAGTTGAAAAATATAATTGGGTATCATCAACGTATTGATGATCCCAAACCCCAAATCAGAGGATGACCTCACCCAGTGGTTTCATGTAGATGTTGAAAAGGAGAGGAGAGAGAATAGAACCCTGCAGCACCTCACAAAGGAGGGGCCTGGGGAATGATCCCTCCCCAACTACCAACACCTAGCTTTCATCCCTTTTGTGTTTTCATTGTTCTACCAACATAAACCAATAGATTAAATTAAAACTAACTAATGTATTTTATAAGATACTGATTCAATAATCAGTATCTTACCGAATAATCAGTATCTTACCGAAAGATGAGTGTGTTGATCCTCTGACACCCCACTTATTTTGTATCCAGGGAGATTTTTCATCACCTACAGATTTATGCTTTAGAGAACTATATACCAATTCCTCATGAATAGCCAATGAGACTGATTTAAATATATATATATATTTCAAATGGATTATTTTGGTAAGCTAATAATAATCAAACAGAACACGTCTACAACTATCTAAAGGTAATGACTGTGGAGAGAAGTAAAGAAAAATGGAATACGAATACCACTTCTTTCGTTTTTGTTTAATTGTCAAAGCAGAACCAGGACTGATGACTTCTCCCAGGGCAGAGGATGAGCTCTTTGCCCTGGTCTTCTCATGGGAGTTAAAGCTTTTTTGGAGACTCTATTCCTGTAACTGAGAATAGATCTTTCACCACCACTCCTCTTGCTAGATTGCAAAAGTCAAAATCATCAATATGATGATTCACTACAAACACTACTAAAAGTAGCAGCAGCAAGCATTTATGATCTCACATTAACAGAAGCAAACTTTAATGGTAGCAATTAACTGACTTGTAGAAAAAATAACTTATCACTTAACTTTCCAATTATTGTATTAAAACAAGACATAACAATGTTGGAAACTGTTACATAAAAGCTGATTTAGAGTCAAGTTGAAACTGTAAAAATATTAATACCAATATTTTATTAGATCATAGGATGAACCACAGACATTAACTATGCATACAGATTTTTCTTCCAATAATTGAATGTAAACCACAAGTTATCGTAATTTCTTTGATAAACCATTCAATTAGAAAAGTACCAGTGTCTCAAATACTGCCATGTGAAGTCATATCTGGTTAATCAGAAAATTTATACATCACACACTACCCCCCCAGATCTCCAAACTTTCACAATGTATTACAAAACTGTTGAAAAAATAAACTACAACTGTACTATGAAAAATAACTCTGTAATAGATGATCTCACTTTCAAGTTTAAGCATCAAGGCATCAATCTATGGCTAACAAATTGGGGATTGTGATTTTTTTTCCTACTTGTCATAATGTCAACATTTTACTTGTGTCAATGCTTCTCTTAATAGTTTATCAAACTATCCCTCAGTCTACAGAAGGAATAAGCAACTTATTTTCTACTGGTATATACTTAAGCATTGTTTTCAACTAAGAGATAGAAATTTAAAGAAGCAATCCTGTATTCCTTAAAACTGAAGTCCTACATAGAAGATAAATTGTAAGTTGCCCACCCTGAGCTTGTGGAATGTTAAACCTACAATCCTATGTATGCTTATTGAGTTAAGTGGGACATGCCTCTAAATAGAAATCCACAAGATTGCACTGTAAAGTAATAAAGATTTGAAAATACTCCTTCATCCAACATTCCTTAAAATTACCGGCTGTACAGAGAACAGATAACCATTGCATGATTTTTTATTTCATTAAAACAAGGCATTTACACTCAATTATGTTAAAAGAGATAAGGGGGAAGATATTCTATTGTAAAAAATATGTTTGCTAAAACCACTAAAAAACTTGCATTTAAAAATAGTTGATAAAAATATTCCTCTGGATTGTACAAGGCAGTGGTAAGAGAACCACTGATTAAAGACTTTGTATAAAGATGTTACTCAGATTTTTCTTCTTTTTCCCCTGCTGTATCTGATACTGGGTCCTGAAAAAAGAGAAAACTTAATAATAGTAATACTTATTTTATTTCCAAGTTAAAACTTAAAAGCATATGTCAAAATTTAAATATATGTGTCAAATTTGATATACAGGTCCAACAGAAATTTTATACCTTGAGCCAAGATGTATTAAATCATTTTAATCACTCAGTTTAAAATTTTTGTTTTGGTGCAGCCGTTATAGATTAACATGTTCAATCCTCATGAGAAAAATATGTGGTATAAATTATGAAACACAAACAGTGAACATGCACAATGAGCATACATTCTTGAATTTTGAAAATTTATACATTATCTTGTTCCTTAACTTGGAACTACAGTCCGAGTTATATCACATTTCCCATTTTCTGCAACCCTATTCTATTATTAAGAAAACCTATCAATTAGTGAAGAATAATTAAACTAGAGAATTAATTCATTATATTCATTATATTCAAATTAAATGTAGTATAAAAACAATACATGGTTGAAATCTGATGATTTGATCTATATGGCCTGAATATCCAGGCTGAAAACTGTCTAGTTCCCTATGCTCTTAACTAGGATTATTAATAATAAGCCAAATCTAGTTGTTTTTTTCCATCAAAGACATATGATGGAAAGGAGACAACAAAAAGAAGGCAAATATACCAAACCCTGGAAAAAGCCCCCACTTTTTGAATCCAGAATAGAAGTTTGAACTCCAGTGCCATCTCCAACTTTTGAAGCCTCTTCTTCCTCTTTCCTGCTGATCCTTTACCCAGTAAACAAGTATTATGACACTTTAAATTTTTGAACTGTCCTCACATAAATCCATACAGCAGACTGCAAAGGTGTGGTAGGATGCATATATATCTATATCTATATATATATCATTCTTTTCTTAGGTGAAATGAGCATATCATTTTTAAAAATCAGACTACAAAAGAACTAAAAGGAACGCCAGAGAACATTTATTAATGCTTGCCAGAATTACCTCCTCACTTTTTGCTTCTCCATTTTCTGCAGGCAAGTTATCCTTTATTTCTTCTTTATTAATATCTTCAGTTTGTTTCTCTTTCAGTCCCTTTTTCCCTTTTGTTGAAGTTCTCTTTTCCTCAGATTTATCCTTTAGTAATTCAGAGTAGATAATCAGCAAACAGACTTTAAATAATTGATTTCTCAGAATAGATAGATTTTTATTTCCACTATATTAAACATTTGAAAAAAAATTACAAGTAACTTAAAAATTCCCTGCACAGGTTTGTATACGTCTAATCCCTGAACATGCACTTACAACATACATAACCAGCACAGCCATGCACTTGCATGCCGGTCCCAAGCCTGGATAAATGGGGAGGGTTGAGGTAAGACCTGGCAGCCTACCTTGCAAAAACCTCGCCAAGTAAATTTTATGGAAAGGCTCTCAAATGAATCAGATATAGTGCCCAATGATAGGAGCCCCAGGTCAGAAGCTACCCAACAAGCTACTGGGGAAGAGCAAGGACCTGCAGTGAGTAGTCAAGGCATTAATGACATGCTTGGGCAAATCTAGCAGGAATCCCAGCTGCTGATGCAGCCATTGGTGAAAGCAAGGGTCTGCGCTGCAGAAAGACACATTGAATAGCAACATGGAATGTCCAAGGAATGAGCCAGGGTGAATTGGATATCATCAAACGGGAGATGACCAGGCTGAAAATCAACCTCCTTGGTGTCAGTGAGCTACGCTGGACAGACAACAGCTATTTCCAGTCTGAAAAATACACTATCTATTACTCAGTACATGACACCAGGAAAATGAATAGAGTGGCATTTATCACAAGCAAGAAGCAATGGAAAGCTTCTCCCCGTCACCCAAGCAATGGAAAGCTTCTCCGCAGTTAATGATCGCATTATGACCATCCAAATCTGTGCCAAGCCCCTCAAAATCACAGTTGTCCAAGTGTACACCCCAATGACTGATGCAACAGAGCTTGAAATAAAGAGTGTCTATGCCAGCATAAAAAAACCTCTGAAGCAAATCACATCATTTACATACTGGGTGATTTCAATACAAAAGTTGGCAGCCAACCACAAACAGACATCACTGGCAGCTTTGGACTTGGGAAGAGGAATGATGCAGGCAATCATTTGGTTCAGTTTTGCCATGAAAATCGTTTTCGAATCATAAATACCTGGTTCAAACAGCACAAGTGTCGCTTACACAGTTGAACCTCACCAAATAAACTGCACCGAAATCAGATCAACTATATCCTATGCAACCATCAATGGTCCGATTCAGTCCTTGCTGTCAAGATATATCTGGGTGCCAACTGCAATTCAGATTGTGAATCATTGGTGGCTAAGATCAGAGCCAAATTATGCAACATCAAAAAGACAATACCACCAAAGAAGTTTGACATTATCACAATCCCTTCCACGTATGTAACTGAGGTGAAAAATAGGTTTCAACTGCTGGACACTGCTGAGACGATGCCTGACAAACTGTGGCAAGAAATTCAGTCAACCATCACTGAAACAGCAGTTGAACTCATACCATACAAGAAACCAGAGAAAAAGCAGAAGTGGTTCTCAGATGAAACCATCAGAATTGCCAAGCGAAAAAAAGCAGCCAAAGCGGCAGGCAAATGGGAGGAAGCAAGTAGATTGAATGCAGATTTCCAAAGGGCAGCAAGGAAAAACAACCAAGTTTACTGGGACCAGAGTTGCAAGCAGCTAGAAGAGGACTGCATGAAGGGCCACACCAGGAATGCATTTGGGCAAGTCAAAAGGATTCAAACACGATTAACTGCTCATAAAAGCATCATCAAAAACAACCAAGGGAAAGAACTGTCTGACCAACAAGGTGTTAAGAAGAGATGGCAAGAATATAAAGAAAAGCTATATGTCAGCAACAAAGAGGCCCACCCTTCTCAGGATGATGAGGAAAGGGTAGCAGAAATAGAACCAGCCATCCTTCAGGAAGAAGTCATGTAGGCAATGAGCCAGCTGCCAAACAACAAGGCCCTAGGTGTTGATACCATCTCTGCAGAATTGCTGAGACCTGTACCACCCACAACCATCACAGCCTCGTGCCAGAAAATTTGGGAAACAAACACATGGCCACAAGATTGGAAACAATCAGTGTTCATTCCATTGCCAAAAAAGGACAACTCCAAGGATTGATCCAATTACCGCATAATTGCCCTCAGCCCTCACACTAGCAAGATTCTCCTTAAGATCATACAACATCTGGTGCCATCAAAAGGGAATTACCAGATGTTCAAGCTGGCTTCAGAAGGGGTTGTGGCACTCATGACCACATTGCAAATCTATGCTGGATCATGAAAAATCTCAAGAATATCAAAAGAACATCTACATCTGCTTTATTGACTACAAGAAAGCCTTCGACTGTGTTGATCATGACAAGATGTGGAGAGCCCTAGAAGACCTAGGGGCGCCAACACCAGGTCAAGTTGGTGCAGTCGCTTCTCAAACATTTGACCCTAGGCCTGTAGCTTATCATTAGGCAAGATCTTAATGTCTAAAAAAAAGCCTTATATTAAGCCCTATGATCAATGCATTTTTATAGATGGGAACTGATTCAATATTAAAAAGTTAGAAGTGGAAAGTCTGAATTTTATGATTCAAATTTTAATTAAGGGCTCTTGTTCCTTTTTTGCCTATCACTAGTGTTAAAATTTCATGCCTGAAAAGTTTTTCCCTGCAGTGGATATAATCAATTGGAGTAATATCCTTGCTATGACAACAAAGGTAAACCACTGATTGATAACCCTAATTCTAAACCATTTGGTGGTAAAAAAAAAAAAAGCATAAGATATTTACCCAAATAAAGTTATCCCGTATAAGTTACTTACCTATACTATAGCACTGCCTATACTATAGCACTACTAAGATAGTTTCTGTTGAACATAGTTTTACAATTTGAAAAGTTCTACAAAGCCGAATCACCCTCAGATGGTAACTTTCTGGTAAAGAAATGGTGATAGGTAAAGTGTGTATTTTTAAATCATCAGCCAGCTTCCAAAGCAGATCTCAGGTAACTGAATAAGCTTACTTCCCACCACCACAAAAAATAAATCCTTACCTTTGAAGTGGACTTTTTTGGCTTTGTCTCGACTTTGGCGATGGCAGGTTTCTGAAAGAAAAAAAAATGTGTTTATTATACCTCCCTCTTTCTACAAATTACAGTAGTAAGTCAACTGAAATTTCTACTCACAGCCGATAGTCGTGCTGATCGCCTCTTTGGCTGGTGCAAAACAGAACCACAGAAACCTGAAGTTAATAGCCTGATCAGTACCGCCTACATAACCTCCTTCCCTCCTGTTCTATTACTACCCCAGCCGAGCAACACACACTTACCTCTTCTTCAGTAGGGTTCACCTGCAATGAAACAGTTAATCGTATTAAAAAACGCGGCGGGTGACATCGCATGCGCGGAAGAACAAACTGAACCCACTCCAGGAGGAGCTGTGACGTCACGGCGTGCACGCCCCTTTCCCACCGCCGGTGTCGGGATCCCTAAGCGGAGGCCGACTGGTACCAACGGCCACGTAAAATTTAGAGACGGGACCGTGCGCGAGGCTCTCGGAACGGTATCAGGGCTGCCGAACTACTTCGAAGGGAGGCGAACTCGCGGCCAGTAATAATCGCCACGTCTCCCACCCCCCTCTTGGCTCTTTCCATGAGCACAGAAATACTGGGCCTCACGCCGAAGTCGCCACAGAAAACAATCCAAATTTAAAAAGAACCCGCTGGTCTTATTTTTTTTTAAATAAGATATATCGATCATAAAGAAACGGCAGGATGAGGTAACGGGATGAAAAAGAGAAGAGACTGTGCGTCTTTGACGCACATTAATGTGTGCGCGCGCCCGTCGCCAACCTTTCTCTTCGGCATGGCTGAATAAGCTGCCCTCGGCTTTCCTTGTGCTTTATGTTTTGCCCTTAGCGTCAGGCAGCGCGGGCGCTTGTTCTTACAGCCCGAGCGGTGACGACTGCCAGTTCTTACTCCAGCCTACGGGAGCCGGACTCTCACTGCTGCGCGCGGACTGTCTGTTGCCTGCCTGACACCCCCACCCCATCCCAGCAGCGCCAGCGGCACTGCAACAGGATCCAGCCGGATTGAAGGGAAGGGTGGGTGTGCGCGCGCTCTCCTCAGCGCCGCCCTCCCTCGACTGGGCGCGCTCATTCCTATTGGCCGCCTGACTTGTAGGACAGCTTTTTAAACCTCATCAGTCAGCCCCGTATGCGAGGTTAGATTTGTCCCTTTGAATTCGGTCTTCTTCGGAGACACGGATCCCCTTCTGGGCGGATCTAGCCGGGGCTCAGCCCACCCGTATACGTCACAGTAGAAGTGTGACAGACGGCTCTGGCATCTGCGCAGTGTCCCTGGACGGTTCCCGTGCGTAAGACGTTAGTAGGTTTACAACAATAGGAGTGAGACGTCGCCGCGCCGCGAAGATGCGCGCTTGCGCATTTTTGACAAGTGGGCGCCGTCCTCAATTGTTCGCTTGTTCGCGTAATTAGCCTGAGAGCAGCGTTTCTCTTTCTCCTTCGTACATCTCTAACCCGAGACATGACTGAACTACGTGTAGAGCCGAAACATATGACGACGGATGGAGGCGCATGGCTCCTCGTACTGAGCTCCGTGTTCTTATGCAACCTCCTCAAAATCCTCTTGCCCTCCTGCTCTTCCATTGTAAGTGACATCGCTCCCCTGGGTTTCCATAGCGACCGCATCCGATGCACCCGGATTTAGCCTTTTATTTCTCGGTAGAAGGGAAACTATTGAGTTGCCTCCTGCAGGGAGGATGCACGAGACGGAACATATTCTAAGGTTCCTTCCCCCTCCCCCAGGTTTATTAGTCCTTACATTTAGTGTGGTAGCACTTCCCAGCCTGGTGTCCTGCTGCAAATCCAAGAATTGCCAGTTTGTACGGCCACACAGAGCTCTAGCCCCTGCACATATGTAGTTGGGACTGATGTAGAGAACATTAGAAGAAGATACACTGATTTTGTGTACAATTCACAAGGAAATATCCATTGGATCCTAGTGTTAACACAGAGTAATTATTTCAAGTACTTTAAAATGTTCGTATAGTAGTTTGAAGAAACTGGTTTTGCTGTAGAATCCATCCTCCTGTAAGAATCGAATTAAGGCATTCCCCAAAGCTAGATTGTCTAGCCTCTGTTTTTGTCAAAAACAAAATGGCAAAAGGGAGCCCATGAACTCTAGATAACTAGCTCCACAGATTCTCCACATTTCTGTAAGTATTAGGAAGTTGTTTTCTTAACATTTACTTTGAATCTGCCTTCCTTTAACTTTTATTTATTGCCATTTCAGTTTATATGCAACTTCATTACCAATGGCTCCAGGTGGCTTACAGGATATTTTACACAATATGATTAAAACTGATGGAAAAGCAATAACAAGCTACCTGATGTACCAGCATTTGGGGATAGCATATTTTCTGTTCTTCTTGAGCGCTTTCCTGAAGAACCATGTAAATAGCTCTTTGAAAATATAAGTGGTCCCTCAGCAAGCCTTCTCTCCCAGATTTGTCCAGATGGGCTGATTCAACTTGGAGGAGGTGGTCTTACAGATAGTTGAGTGTGATGAAATTCTAACTTTGGAAATAAAAACAAATGTTTCCAAATATCGCAGACCAAGAAGAATATTCTTGTGATATTAATTAGCATCTTCTCCATTAAGTTAAAACTCCATAAGAAAAAAGATTAGAAGCAAATGGGAAGCCCTGTGTTAATATTCTCATATGACAAATGAGGGTCAAGGGACACATAGCCAATTTTCAAGATTTTGTACCTAACCGCATGCTCATAGCAATAAACCTGTTTCCTCAGAATCTTTGAAAATCTTACTTTCTAAATTATAAGCTGTTAAAGAGATTTGACAGTAATGCATGCTAGCTTTAAGGTGGTAATCAGCACCTTGAATTATGCCGAGATGCCATCTGGCAGCCAGTGCAGCTCCTGTAGTATAGGTGTTACATAGGTGAACCTTGATATGCCCATAAGTACCCAGGCCGATGTAATGGTATGTGGGAATGACCATAGGAGATAGGAGAAAGAGCTACAGCCTAGACAGAGGTCTGATAAAATTTGAAACTAGAGAGTTGGCAAAAGCATCTCAGAAGGGACCCTCCCTAGTTTTTGGGAGAGTAAAAGTGAAGGAAGGGAGGGGTACTTTCAGACTTGCAAGATTCTGTTAATGTAGCCTTACAATAAAAATAGAACTAGTACTCCTAGTTGTGTTTCTTGTCTGGACTACTTCACAGGGATAACAGCCACTGCATGCTGAACCAGATGAAGTTTCCAAATAGTCCTCATTCTACAATCTCTGTTCCTTCTAAGATGTGCGTGTGTACATGTGCACACAGTAAAAAGCTGAATGCACCCAAAATTAAGTTACCTCAGAATAATAAATTTAGACATCATAAAACTCCAGGTTCATGAGTTGTGATTCCTGAGTAATCGTGCACAAACTCACCACCTTGGCTTAACTGCAGCAGTGATTGATGCTACTGAAGACCCTTTGATAGGTCAGCAGGACTAGAAGAATCATATTCTCCCTATCTTGGCCCCACCAAAGGTAATTGATAAGAGCAACCAGTGGGATTGTAGCCCCATATCCAGGCCTAAAGCCTGACTAAAAAGGGTCTAGATCAGGGTTTTCTGAACTGTGAGATATATCTCCCTTGGGGAAGTGCAGACAGGGTCCAGGGAAGGTGTGAAGAACCTTTTAGTAACATTGCTACAATAAATTCACCTTTCCCAAAGTTTCATTGTATTGTTTTCATTGTTAATTTGTATTCATTGTGTGTTTGGATTTTTAGGAGAGGTGTGTACATTAAGATTACACTAAAGGGAGGTGTGATGGCAAACAGTTTAGGAACCCCTGGACTAGATAATCTGTTGTTCTATGCCCTGTCCTTTGGAATGATAACAAATGGATCTTAACTTTTTATTTTTACTGTTTAGGGCATTTAAAGAATTGAAAGTGTACACATGAGATTTCAGACTTGGAATGAAAATAATTAAGCTTTTTCAGTGATTGCTTGGAAGGTTTGTGCAAAGGTTTAAAAGGAGATGAATATATATGTGCCAGAGATGAATACATTTGTACTGATACCACAGCAGAGAGTACAGAGCACCATATGTTAAAACATCTAGACATCGGAATAGTTTTTTCACTTGTGCCATTGCTCTGTTAAATACTACATGA